CTGGGAGCGTGGGGGGTGTGGAACCAGCCCAAGTGAAGAAAGAAAGTTGGCTCGCTCTGCTTGGGGGTGGGGGCGGGGTGGCTTGGTTGGTGCAGCCTAGATCTCTGTGTTCGTGGATATTGGTCTTTACAGAGGCCCAGGTGGCTTAAGCTGTCAGCCGGGCTCTGGATAAGGGAGTGGGGACAGGGTCATGTTGGGAGAATGACCTTTACCCACCTAATTGCCTCTCAAGAGATGAGTGGAGAGAGAGACTGACTCTGGCTGGCCCACGTTGTCCCTTGGGCAGACCATGTAATGAGGGAGGGCAAGGAAGCCGACCTCTGGGTGTGCTCGAATGCTTGTGCATGCCATGAGTGTGTGTACGTGAGAGTATATATACACATGCATGTGAGAAGGAATGTGCGTGTGTGTGCTTATGTGTGCACACATACATGTGTCTAAGGGGGAGAACATGCCTGTGAGCCTGCATATGTGTACAAGCATGCATTCATGTGCATGGGTCCTTAGGTGGAGCAGGGCACGGTGAGTGAGCCTCCCTGGGAAGCCCAGTCCTGGTGGAGTATCTCATGACTAACTCCTGGCAGGCAATGTGGGAAGGAGTGTGAAGCTGGTTTTCCTCGGGTGCTATGGAAATTCGTGGCGAGGCTGACTTCAGACACCTGGGACCGAGTGGCACCGGAGCAGAACTGTCTGCTTCCTTTCTGCTTCCCATGACCCTTTCCATGTTTTCTTTCTCCATGACCATGATAGTGAAGGACAAAGCTGCTAGCCTGAGGTTGTTTGGGGTCCCTCTTTGGGCCTCCCTGCCACAAGCTGGTGTCTGTGACAAGGCCTTCACAGCCTGAGGACAGGTCACCTCTCCCCTAGCCATGTGAGTGGTCAATGAAGCTTGTGTCTGGGAAACTCGGGGGCTGGGATGTGGTGAAAAGGGAGGTAAGGGGGCTGGAGAGATGGCTCAGAGGTTAAGAGTACCAACTGCTCTTCCAGAGGTCCTGAGTTCAATTCCCAGCACCTACATGGTGACTCACAACCATCTGTAATGAGATCTGGTGCCCTCTTCTGTATACATAATAAATAATAAATAAATAAAAGAAAAAAGAAAAGGAAGGTAAGGTCTGCGCAAGAGGGGTGTGTGGTCTGGATGTCCAGGGACTAGTAGATCTGTTGTTCACTGTCTTCTATGAGGGTTTCTTTTGCCTCTGGACAAGGGGTACTGAGATATGGAGGGGGTCTGGGGTCTGGACCCAGCATGACTACTTCCCCAGGAAGGCTTGTCAGTTGGAGGTAGGACTGGTCAATTCAATGGAGTGCCCCAGCTCCTCTGTTATTAGCAAGGAGTGGAGCAGAAGTCCTAACCAGAGCAGCATGACCGGTCTCTGGGTGTGAGCCCCAGACATAGACTTTGGCTCCTTAGACACTGTAAAGTTGGTCTGTGGGCCGGAACCTCTGACCCCTAACACATGGGCAATAAGGTTAGGGCTCCACTCTCCAACCATTCAAGGCTGAAAAGGTTTGGGGTTGCCATGGATACTAGGAGACCTCATAAGCATTTGGATGATGGATGATTTGGGGTCTTATCCAGGAGCCAGCTGAGGGTATAGGAATGCCACAGATGCTCCTACAGCTTGGTTGCCATAGTGAAAAAGGTGGGGAGGATATATCAAGGTCCCCACCTTAGCTATGGCCACAAAACTCCTTATCTCCAAGTGGAAAAAAAAAAGCTCAGGTTGTCCATTAACAGCAACTGTTTTAAAAGATAAAAGGCAGAAATATTTGCGGACTTAAAGTAGGTGAATTTGTAACTGAGAGAATCCCACAAAGAGATACGTTTTCAGTGTGACGCTGCCTTTTACGGAGCTAGGGATGGCCAGCTCCTGATATCAGCCCGTGAGCAGAACATTCCTGAGGACATAATACAATCATCCCAGCAGAAAGAATCCCACTGAAGTCACTTTCCTAAAGCCTTCAGTATTTTTTGCAGTAAATTCACTCAGCAAAGTGTTCCGTGCCTTGATTCAGGTTACTGATTCACACAACTGAGATTGGAAAGAAAGAGAATGAAGATACAATGGAAAAGGAGGTGGACTTTGAGCGTGGTGTATCTCCCTTGCGATCCTGGCTTTGCAGCTATCTAAGTGGGTCAACTTAGGCAAGTTTCTCCATCTCCTCTATGCCTCAGTTGCTTCGTTTGTGAAATGGACATGAAAAAGCCTCTTTGCATACCTGATAGATCCACCCGGGAGATTCAACGGGACTGATTCTGTGAATGGTACGGGATGGTACCAAGTGTACTGTAAGCATTGAACACAGGACAGTGAGAAACGCGGTATTGAAAATACCCCAGTGTCCATGTAACGACATCTCTTGCATCTGCTCACTCACTTCCACAGCAACGCAGGGGTGGGGGACCACCAGTCATCCCATTCCAGAGTGTGGAAACAGATGTGAGCCCTGGATTTGAGCCCAGGTCCTCCAATCCCAAGTCTCATGCCCTTTCTACTGTTTTACTTTTTTAATATTTTTATTTTGCTGTGTGTAGAAGATGCACACATGCAAGAGCACTGGTGTAACAGTCAGAGGACAATTTGCAGGAGTCAGTTCTCTCCTTCTGCCATGTGGGTCCTGGGGACCATGTTCAGGCCCCTAGGCTTGGCAGCAAGCACCTCAACCCACTGAGCCATCTTGACAGTCCCAGTCTGCGCTTGATGAGAGAAGAGTAATGGCATTTTAATGACGTTCAGGTTAGCAGAGGGTAAGGCTGGCTGGCTGGCTGGCTGGCTGCTGCTGCTGCTGCTGCTGCTGCTGGCATTTGGGAGGCATTGGAACACCTCCTGGTGAGGACTGGAGACCTCATGTCATAGATGAGGTATGTGCTGGATGCTTCCTGACAGCTAGTGTGATAAGGGCTGGACAGCTGTGCATACCATCACATCCAGACACCTGGCCGCATCTTGGCCACCATGCAATCTGCTGGGAGAGGGAGGCTGATAGGGATTAGATTGACAAGTGGCTTGCTAGACTGTGGTCATCCAGGCCCTCCACCCAGTGTCAATATCAACGTCTACTGATTGACTGTTGGGAAATCAATTCAGTTGGGAGTGACTGTTCAGCTTCTAGGAGCATCGTACCCCCAATATATACACACAGTGAATTTATGCGCGCGCGCGCGTGTGTGTGTGTGTGTGTGTGTGTGTGTGTGTGTGTGTGTGTAATTATTGTAAAAGCCTTAAAGAATGGCCTCACAGAAGTCTTAGACCATGTCAGATTTTATAAAGGCCACCCTCACCCATAGCATAGTGGCCACAGACATGCAGATCCACTTCATCTTTGCATTGGATGGCTGCCACCAGTGATGAGTGATAAATCTGGATGTGGCTAATGATTAAGAATAGGGAAGCGGATGAGATCCAGAAATGTTTGTTCCCCACTAAGGAGTCCCCTATGGCAGCAGGACAACAACAAAGGCTTGCTGTGGAAGGATGTGGACAGAGGGCAGCAGTTTTTAAATATCAAAAATAATAAACAGGGCTGGTGAGATGACTCAGGAAGTCAAGGCACTTGTCACCAAGCCTGAGGACTTGAGTTTGATCCTCCAAACCCACACAGTGGAAGGGGAGAAGCAGCTCCATAAAGTAGCCCTCTGGCTACCACATACATGCTGTGGTACTCAAGTGCCCCTATAGAATAGTAAACAAAAGAATCTAATTAAAGATTTGAATAATGATAGAATTTTTTTTTTTTAGCCTACAGCAAAAGACAGATGTAAATCAATTCTTTAAAAAAAAATGCTAGGACCTCAGAAGAAAAATGAGTGAGCCTAGTCATATAATTTACAGAGAATGGGTTTTGTTAAACCCTAGAAAGGGTTTTAATTTCATTAATATTCAAGTATACCTAGAATGGTGCCACATGAAAATGAGATCCTGTGTTTGCTCATACAGCGAGCAAGCAATCTCTGCTTTTGAAGGTCAGCAGTGAAGACTGGTGAGCACTCTGTGATCTAGAAGATGCTGGTTAATGCTGAACTTTAGAAAAACAATGTGCCAAAATGTGCTATGATTCCTAAAAACTGACATCCTTTGACCCTGTAATATCATGCCTGGGAATCAGGTCTAAACAACTAGAAGGTAGTCCAGGGGTCGAGGGCAGGGGTGAGTGTTGTTTTGTTTGCTGGTCTGCTGGGAGGTTTGGTTTGGTTTTGCTTTTTTGAGCCAGGTTTTTGCTACATACCCCGGGGTGGCTGCAGAGACACTAAGAAGCCCAGGCAGGCCCTGGAGTCATGGCGCTCTTCATATCTCTGCCTCCGAGTGCTGGATTTCCCACTATGCACTACCATACTCAATTTGGAAACAGTTTTAAGAACAAAATAATGGAAAACTAAGGTGTTTGTGGTGCAGATATCTGCAATCCAATGTAACCTTGGCACTGGAGAGGCCGATGCAATAGAATCCAAAGTTTGAGGCTAGCCTGGGCCACAAAGCCAGCCCAGGCTATATAGCAAGGTCATTTGAAAGAGATTTTTAAATGTGTGGGTTTGGGAGGCAGATCTGCAGGTAAAGTGCTTGCTGGGTTTGGATCTCTAGAACTCTCTAAAAAGCCAGGCATGGCTGCATGTGTTTCCAAGTCCAGGGCTAGGGAGGCAGAGACAGACAGATTCTGGGGGACTTTGGCCAACTAGCAAGCTCCAGGTTTGACAAGAGGCCCTGCCATTAAAAAAAGAAAAAGGTAGAGAAATGATTGAGAAAGACTTTCCATTGTTAGCCTCTGAACTCGACATGTGCCTGCTAGCCAGGTGCACTTACATTAATATAGTATACGTGTACACGCGCCACACACACGAGGAGGCGTGGAGGAGACAGAGAGACAGAGAGAGGTCAATGATAAGAAAATGGTGATTTTTTTTTCCTATTCCCATCCAGGAAAATTCTTCTAGAATTAAAATATGAATTCAAAACTTTTTTTTTAGCATTTATCATATTCATTTATAACATGTCCTTATATATTTAAGCGTTTGGGAAAGCAGTATATAAATATTATACAGAGAACAATATTATATCTCGGCAAAACATCCAGAAAATGATGGAGGGTGTTGCATCCAGTCCCTTTCCAAAGCTGTCTACGATTTCTGGTCACTGGGCGACCACTTTTCCTTCCGGCTCTTTGCTTCCCCCTTACAAATAGTATGAGTTGTGGGGGATGGAACCTAGGACACTGGGGCTGAGAACAAACTTTATCCCATGACCCTGAATGTATCTGTGGACAGAGGAATGGCTGACATCTCATAACATGTCAGGCTCACAGCCAATGCTGTACACCGAGTCTGGGGGCCTTGAGTTTAGATCCTAGGGACAGCATGGTGTGGTCTATCTTTGGCAAGTCCTTTTCATTGTTATTACCGTTGAACCTAGAGCCACAAATCCGCCAGGCAAGCACTCCACCCCTGGGCTATAGTCTCAGACCCTGAAGCAATGTCACACTAAGTCGCCCAAGTTGGCTTTTGAACTTGCTCTATAGCCCAGGCAGGGCTTGAACTCTCTCTTCTCCCACCATAGCCTCCTGAGTCGCTAGGCCTGCAGCTCCAGGGTGGGTAGCAATTCCTTGTCTTTGTCCATGTCCCTTGTAGAGTGGTTTGATATTCCCTTGGGTACACGGGTATTATATTTATGCAGGCATCACTCAGACTCATTACTACCCTATCATTGGATACCTAGAAATCTAAGTCATCCTGGCCAAAGCCATCTACCCTACCCCCAACCTGGGTACAAATCAAGCTTCCAGCTGTCTCTTCATCTCCTGCATGACAGACGTCTCCTTCCTCCTGCTTTGGAGGTCTTGGGCTGGAGGGGGTTTCTCGTTCCGAAGAGGAACTTTCTGGATACATCATGGTGACTTTTCTCTCTGCATCCAAGTCCCTGCTGCTCTTGGCTTTGGTGCACTTGAGCGCTCCACTTGGAAAATCTTCTTCTGAGCCCTTCTGAGACACCTGTGAGCAGCTGCTCGGAGATGATGCCCTGGTGCAGTGCGCTGCAGGACGGCGTTGGGGGCCTGGTCTCCTGTGGCGGTTGTGGAGCCTCCCCTCGTGGTCTAGGCTGATGTTTTCAGAAACCACCCCTCTCTGGCTCTCTCCTGAACTAACCCAAGGACCATTCTCCTTTTCATCTTGATTTCCTCCTTCTACCTCTGGCTGTCTTTCTCTGGAAGCGTCCTGAGTCTCCACAGAATGGCTGCCATCACCCTGTCTTCCTGGAACCTCCGAAGCGTCTCCATCTCTAAAGCGCGGGTGCGGGGTTTCTTCCTTCTTGGTCACACTCTCCTCTAGCTGCCGGCTTTCTTGTGCAGCACTGATGTGGATTTCCCTTTCTCTCGAAGTGGCTGCATCCTCTTCTGGCACATGGCAGCCAGCTCCTTCTTCTTTCAAGAACTCGGGATCCGTCTCTCCTCTCAGTCTCTGCCTCTCTTCCCCCTCCTCTCCCTCATCTACCCCGGGCCCCGGGGCCAAGCTCAGCTCCTGCTTTCCATCAGTTGCTTGGACAGTTCTGGGGTCCTCCTGAGGCAACATCATCCCTGCCTTCTGAGGGGCCACCTCCATGGCCTCTCTATTCCTACCTCCTTTCTTGCTCTGCAGAATTTGCTGTAGGTCAAAGGCCTTTTTGACCGGTGCGCTGGAGACTCCTGCGGCATCCTTTGGGGATTTAGGGATCTTCTTCTTCTTCAGGCAGACTTCACAGGGACAGAACTCATCCCCCACGGCCCCCACACCTGGCCTGGTCCCTAAGGCTGTACTGAGAGTGGGCCCATCCTCCAGGGTGAGGGAGAGGGGGCCCTGGCCAGGGAAGGCTGAGAAGTTGCGCAGGCCCTGAAGGCGGCGCCTGCGCTGCTCTGTCTGTAGTGATGTTTGACCTCTGAGGGGTTCCCGGGGTGGTTCCGGGACCATCCTCCCTTGCCGGCTCTGGATCTTCCTGACTTCCCTGACAGTGCTTGCTTGAAGCCTTCGGCCCACATCCTGCTCCAGCTCGGTCACCATCTGGTCCAGCAGGCTGTTGTCGTGAAGGTTCCATCGGGCTCGGAGTTCAGTTGTGGCACCAGCCAGGTGAGCCATGAAGTCTTTCTCTATCTTCTTCAGCAGCTTGGACACCCAGACTGGGTCAGGGTCCAGACATCCTCTGTGGGCCGTGGATGTGCTCGTCTCCCTGGTTTGTGAGCTGGCCTTGATACTGGCTTGCTCGCAGCCCATGGCAGCCACGGTGGACACCTCTTCCAACCCTTGCTCCAATATGTGAACACTTGGACTCTCGCGATCATTTGAGTTGCTCCCACTGAAACGGTGAGGGGACTCTGTGGGTTCCTCTCTCCCATCTAGGGGCCACAGCCCTCCAGAGGCAGCGTCTCTTCCTGCTTCATCCTTTGACACTTTGGTGTCTTCTGGGTAGCTCTCCCCATCCCGAGAGCCAGCTCGAGGCATTTCCGGACTGCAGACTCCAGCCTTTTCTTCCGGAAGCCCCTCCCCCTGGACACCATCTTTCTGTAGCGTCTCTCTTACCCTCCCTTCTGCCTCTTCTGATTGGGCCTCCTCTTCCGGCCTTGTGCTTTCCGCGGATTGTTCTGGAGCATTGCCCCACTTCCGCTTCCTGCCACCTTTACCTGACTCCTCCCCACTGGCGGGGCCAGCCCACGCCTGGGAGCCAGATGAGGCTGCGGAATGACTCAGTCCCTCTGGGTACCCCTGGTTCCTGGAATCAGGTCTTTGAGAGGGGATTTTCAAGGGCAAATCTACCCTCTCGGGAGCCAGGGTATTATTATCCAGGGCACAGGGCACACTGCTCTCACCTGAGCCCCCAGAGCCACTGCTGACATCCACGCCAGAGGAGGAGGTGGGTGTGCAGTCCTCGGTCCCCAGCAGAGCCTGGTGTGAAGTGAGCTTCCTGAGGCCAATGTCCAGCTGGCTTTGCCCAAGCTCACTCCCAGGCCACAGGGCCCGGGAGATGCTCAGCATCTCCTTGTACCTAGGGGACTCTTCAAGCCTCGCGTTGCTGTCCAGAGGGCCCAGATCCTCATCAAAGAAATGGAGCCTGGCAAGACAGGCGATGAGGGCCCCAGCAGAGAAGCTGAGCCTCTGGGCTACTGTGCTGGAGACCTCTGGTAGACTGCTGGGCCGGCCTGGCTTGGAGCCCAGCAGGGCCTTCATGATCTGGGTGGAGGCCGAGACCCTGCTGGGCAGCGCGCATAGGCTCACACCATGGTCCACAGTGGTCCCTTCTCCTATCCCAGCTTCTGCAGGGGCCTTGGCCCCTTCACCTGATGCTGTATCATGACGTGGATCATCTCCTAGTTTGCAGCACACAGAACCAGTCCTGGGGAGGGCTCCTGCCGGCTCTGGCTGCTCATCAGTGACCCCTTCTGGGGGCTGCTGTCTGGCCTGAGCCAGTTCCCTACGGGCTTCCAGAGAGCAGCCATCACCGAGGTCGTCCTCAGGACTTTCTGGGCCATCATGGGCCACCTCTGTGGTCTCACCTTCTATCTCATAGGTCATGGGTACCGGCTTTTCTGGGATGTTGCCTAGCCACTCACGAACCACAGCGTCTGGAGAGGTGTAGGGCAGAGCACTGGGTGTCACACCACCATCCCCTTCCTGTTCCTCAAGGCTTCCCCTGATACCGGGGGACTTTCCCAGCAGAGTCTTCCTGGGCTCAGCATGGTCATCAGCTTGCTTCTGGCCACTGCTGGTACTACTGCAGCTTGTAGGATCCTTTCTGGAACATATTTGTTCCTGGGGGGCAGTTGGACAGAAGCTGCTGGCCCCCCAGCAGGCCTCAGAGATGGGGGCCTGTGTTTGACCACTGGGGGCTGTGAGGACAGAGGATGCTGCCACCTGTGAGCAGCAGCAATCTTGGTGGGGTCTTGGGTCTTCTGCTTCAGGCTGTCTGTCCAGCGACACAGAGGACGAGGGAGGCTCAGGGGTGGTCCCTGCCTTGTCCCACAGGCAGCCGACGTCTCCTGTGTGGACAGGTGTGGGAGTTGGAGAGTGAGCTGGACACTCAGGGTCCCCTGCCGGTTCTGCAGAGTGAGTTCTAGGATGGTAAACGCTGGACGCACAGTCGGAGTCACTCATGGGGATGGTGGTGGCTTTGCTGGTGGCTTGTGGGCCCTGAAAGTCAAGAGAACTGGAGAATGGTGATCTCACATTGCTGGAGGCCTGATGCCCAGCCCTGGGTGAGTTTGGAGGAGATAGTGGTGTGGGGCCTCCTGGGCAGGCCTGTTCTCTTTCCTGAGGTATTGCATTTGTGTCCAGCGAGGATTGAGTGTTCCTGCAATAGTCACACTGCCTGGCATGGCCGTTCTGAGCCACTTGGCAAGAGGCAGGGACACTGGGCAAGCACATAATACCAGCTGGCCTCTTCTGCTTTTTCTGCCTCCGTTGGGCCGGGGCACTGGCAGGAGCTGGGAGAGCATCTCTCTGTGTGTCCAAAGAGCTAAAACGGCTTGGGACCAGGGGCAGCCTCAGCTCAGGCTCGCCTCTGGCCTCCTGGCACCTGGTGCTCTGTCTACACTTCTCTGTCTGAGGGTCCATGTGGCTCAAAGAGAAGAGACTGTGGGTGGGAACACAGGACCCGTCACCTTGGGTGGCTTGCCTCTGGGAAACTGTGACCCTCACCTGGCTTGAGCCTCTGTGATGCTGGCTACCACACTCACTAGACCCCTCGGGAGACTCAGCACTGACTGATGTATCAGAAAGGGCCCTTTCTATACCTCGGGTCTCAGGTCCCAAGTCACAGGGTCCTGTGTCCTCTAGGCAGGAGCCCTTAGCAGCTTCTAGCTCAGCCCCACTTTGGGAAGAGGCTGAGGAGACTGGATGCAAGGTGTCACTGTCTGTCTCACCTTCTGGAGTCCAGGGACAGCGGGAGCCTGGCTGGGCACTTCTCGGGTGCCTGGGACTTGAGAGTGGGCTGACACTATTGTTGCTATGTCCTTTCCGGTCATTGGCCCCCTGGCTCCTGCATCCAGAGAGCTTAGACAGGCCCCACCTCCTCCTCTGAGTTGAACCTGCACCCCCAGGGGTGGTCAGGGTGTTCCTCCAAATGTCATAGTTGGGCTGTGATTCCTGGTCCACATCAAAGGCTCTCTGGTATCCTCCATCACAGGGACCCCATCCCTGTGTCCCATGTGCCAAGAACCTCCAAGGGTGGCCCTCCTGTCTGTAACAGAAGGGATCAGCCTCCCTCAGGACCTGGCCCTCCCCACTGGCTGGGGTGCAGACACTGGCATGCCCCACCCTCTGGGACCACCGCAGGGTATCCTCGCCCAGAAGATGGAAGCGGACTTTCATCTCCACAGACAGGCTGCCATCCTCATTCATGCAGACCTTCTTCTCCACATCATCAGCAGCCACCAAGGAGCCAGGCGGGCCAGGTGTGTCCTGAGGGCACCTGTTCAAAGCAGGCCCTGGCCAGGCCTGATGACCGGATGCTGGATGGTCACTCTCTGACATCAAGGAAAACTGCCGCAGCCTTCTGCCTGACCTGGCCCTCGAGTGCATCACACTCTGCTTGGCGTTTGGTCCCCAGCAGCCTGTTGCACAGTGGAACAAGAGAGATGAGAATAACTAGAGCATGCAACAGCAGAAAGACAAGGGTCAGAGCTATTCTAGAAGGACCCGTGGGTGTCACAGAGCACTAAGAAGGACTTGAGTGTGGGCCAGCCCAAAGCCACCAGCTACCCGCTCTGTCTGAATTTACAACCCATTAACACTGCTTCGTTACATGCAGCCATGCATATAGAGTTGCTGCGCAGAAAGCTTCTTGCACAGAACATTTGCTGCATATTAATGCTTGCTGAATAGGCACCAGCACGATCAGGTTCCGGAGAGATTGTGGCATTGCAGGTGAAAACACACCATGGGGATTCATTGACCTGGCATAGGAGGAAGCTCAGGCTGCCGCCAGTGATAATCCGACCATACACTGTAAACTGATATGACTCACGGTGACCCATCTCCCTCACAATGGCCAGGCTCCTGGGCTGAAGAAAGATTGCCGGGAGAGGTCTAAACACACTATGGCAGTCTGCGATAGTCTAGCCTACCCCGCAGGCAGAAAAAAAAAAAGTGATGGGCCTTGGGTGATAGAAAGTAGCTCTAAAGCTGGGCGGTGGTGGTGTATGACTTTAATCCCAGCACTCGGGAGGCAGAGCCAGGTGGATTTCTGTGTTTGAGGCCAGCCTGGTCTACAGAGCGAGATCCAGGACAGGCACCACAACTACACAGAGAAACCCTGTCTTGAAAAAACAAACAAATAAATAAATAAATAATAAAAAAATATAAAAAAAAAGAAAGACGAGCTATGCTTGGTGGGATGCACCTGTGTCCAGCAGGACAGACCTCACAGACATTTCCGGCCAGGGGAAAGCATCAAGCAGGCCTGGTGGCTCTTGTAGTGTGTGCCTAGACATTGTCTTCTGTCCCAGCCACTGGGGTGCCACAGTTGCTGGTACTGTTCTTGGTCATTTTCTTAATGGAGTCCCACAAAACGCAGCCCTTTGTTCGTTCACCAAACTCTATTATCAGTCCAGCAGTTTGGCTGTCATTTTTACCCTGCACTTGGGAACTGTGCCCTCGAAATCATGCATATTTTAACAACGAAGCCTAGACCCTGACCCTCTGTGGGCTTTTTTGATGGATCTATATGTCCGAATGGGTGGTCCATGGTTGTGGTGTGTTTTAATCATCGTTAACCACTGTAGATCACCACTGCTCCCTAGGACAGCCATGACTCTGAAGGACTTAAATGTTCCCTGTACTCACAGGGCTCAGCACCTCCATGAGGACATGTCTACTGGGAATCTTAATGGTTATTTTAGACCCTAGAAACCTGGAGCCCAGATTTCCCTGGGTCATAATCTACACTGATCTCAGGTGTTCCCAGCAATGCTTTGCTCACTTAAGGCTGATGGAAGAAGGAAACAGGAAGAGAGACCCAAAGTGGCCGAAGACCTAGGAACCCAGCCAAAGCCCCTTTCCCGTGGGTCTAGAAGTGATAACAACCAAGCCCGTAGAGCCACCGTCCCATTTAAAGAAGCCAGGAAGGCCCAGAATCTACTCACCACGTTCACTCCTTGCAGTCACACCAGAGAAGGTTCTGGTCCTGTTCCCTCCATCATTTTCCATCTCCAGGCGTCTGAAGGCCTCGTTCCCAGCACATACCAGCAGGGAGGGACCATCCAGGAGTGTCTGCAGAGAGTCCACCTGGAGGACGTGAACATGGAGTTGGGAGCCTGGCCTGCAGAGACTCTCTGCTCTGGGAGGCCCAAGAAGGAAGGTCCCATCTCCTCAGCCCTTCCTAACCCTTGCACATACCATTCTGGGTTCCCACATCCCACCATGCCTCCATCACAGCCAGGGGCTGAGAGCCCACTGCCTGCAGGATCTCTTTCTCTGTCTCCACCAGCTGGGAGCCAGACCATAGGTTACCTTGGACAGAAAGGTCAGGACCATTAAGCTGCTTCCCCCAGCACACATCTACCATCCAGAATACGTTTTGTAAAATGCTTGCAGCAGAACATTCAATGCCTCCATGTGGAGATCTGATTCTCAGTCTGTCATATTCCCAGGTGGAGTCCTCACCAGTATGGATAACTTTCCATATAATTCAAGCCAGTTGCCTCTGCTTGAGTGGATCAGTGAGGGCAAAGTACTGCTCCTCTCCCAGAGAGTCTGTCTGTTCTCAAATTCTACCCTTCCCTTAGACGCACCAGCAGGACATGCTGCTGCCAACTCCTGGCTCAGAGATGAGCAGGATGCATCCCTCCAGTAAACAGGACTTCACTCTCAGAGTAGTTCCCTGGCCCCAGAGGCCCTGCATATCTGAAGGCCTGTGTTACAGCATGAATGGCAGTGTGTAGTGTCAGGGACTTTCAAAGTGCATAGTGTGTTCTTTAGAATAATCTCAAATTAGAAGGGTATGCTCAGTAACAAAAAGACACCGTCCCCACCATGGAACTATGAGAATAACCAAAACCCCAGGACAACATCAAATGCAAGGAGGTGGGACATCAGGACCTGTCACTCATGATCCATGGGGATGAAAAATGGTCTAGCCAGTCTGGAAGACAGTTTCTTGTAAAAACCAAGCACATGAATCAGCAATTGTGCTCCTTAGTATTTATCCAAGGGACACAGCTCCCCTTCCCACAATCACAGGCAAACAACTGTGTTGTACTCTACCATCAGGCCCAGTTCATTAGGAGGTCCCTTTGTTCTTCTCAACTTCAAGACACATTCCTTCTTTGGGCAGATTTCTACTCCATCGCACCTCTGTAACATTTAAATGCCGAGGAGGCAGTGGAGTACCAGGGACTCTTGCATCACAGACCCACTCAGGGGCCGTGAAGGGTGTGGGGGAGGCTGTCCAGGGGATCGTTGGTTTTGGTTGACTCTTATCGAAGGAACAATGGATAGGGAGTGGCTAGGACTTTCAACTGAGTCAAGGACTCAACAGGACCAAGATGGAGGGTTGGTGGTAAGGGCAGCTCCCAAAGGCTCCCTGACAACTGGCTGGTGGGTGGGGACATTCTTGTCATTGCTAAGTGGTCACCAAAAGGTGACTATCACATGGACAGATAGGCCTGCTCAGTGGGTGCCCGACACCTGGTGGGAAGCCAATCAAACCGAATCCCTCCGACGACAGGGCTGCTATTATGTAATGAGGACATCTCTGTGGTTGGGGGCAGTTTGTACCCACTGGGATGGAGTAGACTTTTGTTTTGGTTAAAGGTGGTCCTCGGCCATTCTCTTTTAGCATCACCATTGTGAGCTTTCAGAATGCCCCCTTAACACCGGCACAACCCAGGAAGATGGCTGACGTCACAGCAGAAGATATGAGGCCGTGGGCTAACACCAATAGAATTTACTGTGTGTCTGGGTATAGTGGTGAACACACCTTTGATCCTAGAACTCAAGAGGCAGAGACAGGTGGATATCTGTGAGATCTAGGCCAGCCTGGAATACATAGTGAGTTTCAGGTCAGCCAGGGTTGCATAGTGAGACCCCCATCTCAAAACAAACAATAAGAACTCACTTTGTAGCCATACACTCTATCACCCTCATAATGTGGAATAGTAGGATGAATATTCTCTGGAAGATTCCATGTGGCATCCAGCTGGAGAGGTTGAGCTGTGTTCCTATAGGATGTGATACGCATTTCCAAGGCAAGTGATGTGAACTGCTTTGCTTTTCTGTGGACCATAGACACCTGGGGATGAGAAGGCCCCATGGAACTAGAAGTCAAGGCCGTCACCAGGCACCCCAAGCTAATGAACCGACAGGCAGCAGGAGGGGTCCTGTGTAGGATAGTTAATAGGTTCTGATTATCAAGGGGAAGTCTGGTTGCTGTTCACAGTGGGGACACCCTTGTTGGGAGCCCTCTGTGGCTGCCACGTGCAGGCAGTAGGACAAGGTGACAAAAGACCCCAGCAGCCCTGTATAAGAAGGACCCAGAGGACTCAGCCTGCCAGGACCATGGTTTAGTCACTCCATCAGGTGCATAACCACCATCAGCAGAGAGGCCAACAGAAGGGGGAAGGAACGCCAGGTGAATAGTGGAAGGACAATTTAAACACTAACCACAGCCTTGTGGGAGACTGCCCGACTTGCCAGCTCTCCATAGAGATATGTACTATAACTAATTCCCTGGCTTTTGCTCTTGATTTCTTGTGCTACTTTATGCAAGGAATTCTGGGGGCTACTGACTTTGATAGATTTTGAGAGAAAATAGCAAAGTGGCCTTGTAACCAAACTAGAAGACAGAGAGCACAGAGAGGATGTGGCTTGGGGCAGAAAGCAAATACGCTTTTGCTTTTGTTTCTTGAGACTAACCTAGACGCTCTGTGTAGGCCAGGCTGGTCTCCAATGTGCAGGTCTCTTGCCTCCATCTCCCGAGTGCTGGGATTCTAGGCATGTGCCACCACACCTAGTTAGTAAATACAGTTCTGACTATAGGAGGCCCCAGGGCTAAGCAGATACAGGACCAGATTGTGGGGGGAGAGAACTAGATCAGCCTAGCTCGGTTTCCTGAAATGCCCACCTTTGTCAGAGACTCGTGTTTCGCAAGACCTAGGAAGGTGCCAGCTACACTTACTAGCCTCTGCAGTTAGGGTCGAGTGCATGCCGTATTCTCCCTCAACCGGGTGCCTTTGATCAAGACTGAGAAGGAAGCTGTTCTGTTCGGTACACACCACCTCATCCCCCTTCTGGCTGGTGTTGCTGTGAGCATGTAAGAATCAGGAGGTGATGGCAGCCGAGGTGGCCATGGCCGACTCATCCCTCTAGAAGTCCTGAGAGTTGAGAGGCAGCTGCACTTCCTGAGCACTGTTTCCCATGCTTGGCTGTCGGCCTCACCGATGCGTTCTTGAACTCAACATTCCCAGTGCTTCCAGTAAAGGCATGCGCTACCTGCAGGGTGTGGTGAGCTATCTCTGTCCACCCAGCCCTGATCCCACACTCCAGCTTTCCAGACCTGCCCCCCTAACGTCCTGCGTTAAATCTCTCAATGCTCAAGGTACCCTGAGTGATCTGTTTCCTGCCCTCAACTCCCATGGAAATATGCTGTTGGGAGGACTGCATAACAGATGAGCACGTGCAACGCTCATGCTGGGTGCTAAGGACTTAGTAAATGGGAGCATGAGTAAGGTGGCCGTGTGTGTGTGTGTGTGTGTGTGTGTGTGTGTGTGTGTGTGTGTGTGTGTGTGTGTGTGTGACTTCTGACTCAGGTCCTCATGCTGGCCTGGCAAGCACTTTACCAACGGAGCCATCCCTCACCCAGGCCTGATGATAGTTGTTTGGTTAACAGATTTGACTCAGTGTCTCCACTCTTCACCTCTAACTAGCAGTAGGCAACCAAGGATGCCTTACTAGTCCACCTGCGTATTTTGACCCAGGGTCCAAAGGTAATACCTGCGCCCACCACCTACCTTCTTCCCGCTGATGGTGTACACCTGCTTCACGGGAAAGCGCAGAAGCTCGGAGGCTTTGCTGAGGAAGGCCGTCAGGTTCCTGGTGTCCCTGTGACTCAGAACCACTGTCTGCTGGCATCTAGGATTCCCATTCTTCACCAGTGTCATCCTCCTTGGGGCCATGGGGCCCTTCCACGAAGAGGATGTCTCTGGAGCTTCACGCCCACCTTCATGCCCCCGGGACTGCCCAGCAGAGGGGCTTTTCCTTTGCAGGCGGCCTGGCTCTCTGGGAGTTTTAGGGGGCTTCTTATCGGAGCAGAGGTAGCAGGCCCCATCTTGCAGCTGCTCCAGGGCACTGAGGCCATGTAAGCCCCGGGGTGTGGTCACAGAGCGGACCCCAAAGGAAAGAGGCATGCGCTGAGACAGTTCATCCATCAGGGCGCTGAAGGTCTTGAAAGTGCGCTGGTGAACAGCCAGGCGAACCCCAGCAAATCGGGGATCCCCTCGCTTGAGGAAGGTTATCTTCTTAGCTGGCGTCACCTCGGTGACAGAGGGAGTGTGAGCCACAGAGGGCAGGAGACACTGCCGGTGGCTTGGGGCAGGAGCTTCCCGCATGCCTCCTGGGGTACTGTTCATGATGGGGGGAGCTGCAGACAGCTGAAACAGACAAAGAAGAGAGGCTCAGAGGGCAAGTCACAGGTCAGGACAGTCTAGTCTCTTCCCTTCGTTATGGAGGTGCTTCCTGACACCCCAAATCAGTTCCATCCAGCTGTGTAGAGACAGTTCGATCCACCTGGGTTAAAAGACAAAGATTTAGCACTGGGTGTGTCTATGGCAACCCCTACCGCCCACACTTGCTACCCACGTCATCTGGGAGGACAGTGACTTACTGAGCCCCATCTGCAGAATTCAGCTGAGTCTGGATAGTGGTCATAGTACGCAAATGCATTTCTACGTCTGAACTGCTTCACATAGAGCAAGGGTCAAAAGTCTTCCGTCTCTTCCCTCCTCTGGCTGTTTCTCTTGCCCTCTTCTGCCAACAGACAACCCCCCTGAATGTCCTCGTGTGTTCTCCTCTAAAAATGTGGGTAGGCAGAACAAAGAGTGACCGTCACAGGTAGAATGCTAGACACAGAGTCAAGAGCTCCGCGCAGCAGGCTTCCCTCTCTTGCGGTCTCCCCACATGCCCTGGGGATCCCTATCTCTCTGGACTCCGTTCATCCGTTCATCCAGCTGTTGGGGTGGGGTGGGGTTCCAGCACTGGTTCCAGACCCTCTAGGGACAGGGAATCAGACAAGGAGACTCAACACCCTTGTCTATGTAACCCAAAGCAAGATGCATCACTTCATATCCTGTGTCTTCGTCACCAGTTGGTGTTGGCATCAGTATTAAAGATAAGCTATGGGGTTGGCAAGATGGCTCAGTGGGTAAAGACACTTGCTGCCAAGACTGATGACCTGAGCTCCATCTCTGGGACCCACGTAGTGGAAGGAGAGAACCAACTCCCATAAGTTATTCTCTGACCCTCATGGGTGTATGTGCACACACACACACACACACACACACACACACACACACACACACACACGCATGCATGCGCGCACGCACGCACGCACACACGCATGCACATACACACTGACACACTCACATACATTCATTCACAAACAAATGAAATATTTAAAAACCACAACCTTTTAAAGCTGTGTCTAAGGTCCCCCTAAAGTCTTTTCTGTGGGTGGCTGTCAGCTTGCTGCCACCCACAGGAAAGAGTAAGGCACACACCTGTCCCCACTGTCCACTTCCACTTCCACTATCCCATGGTGTGCAGCCCTCTGACCTCCCACAGGACACTTGCAAAACCCTTTCATCTGCCTCTCTTGTCCCAGGTCACCACACTCCCCTCTGCCCGTGGCAGGCAGGTTACCCTGAGACCCAGCTTCTTCTTGTGTCCCCAAACCTTTCTGGCTCCCCAGATCTGTAGAAAAAAGTCCGCACCTTTATTCTGCTACTCAAAGTCTTCTCCCACACGTCCCCTGTCGACTCTGTGAGCCTGGCCTCTTCTCACAGAAGGACTCTAAGGTTCTCCTGAGAGGCGGCCCTGCCCTTCTGCATCTCACTGTGGCTGACCTCTTCGTTGAGACCTCTCCAACCCTCATTGTTAGTGTAGCATCTCCTGAAGCTCCTACCCTCCAGGCCCTGCCTTCTCCAGCTTACCCCACCTGGGAAGCAGAACCCACACTTTCCAGGGCACCCAGCCTCATGTCTGAGAAGTAAACATGAATTGATAACCTTTACCCTCATAGCGCTTCCTGCTGGGGGCTGGATCTGAGCTGATGGGGTTAGAGCAGGATTGTCCCCACTCCTGAGTCAGGAGTGGACATCCTTCGTGTGCATGGGAGGCTACTGGGGCCACAACTCCCTCCTCCCTGGCATTGCTCTTCATTTAGTCCCATTTGTTGGATGGAAAAGAACTCTTGTCTCATTTTCAAAAACACGGGGCACAAAAGAGCCTTGTAATCCTCTCATCTCTGGACAGATGTATAATTAGCTCCCAAGACCTCCTCCCTGCCAGCTAATCCCCGCAGGCTGTTCCCATTAGCCCTCCGGCCGATGTTACTACAGCTCCAGGAGCAGTTATTCCCCAGTGCCTGCCCATGGGGGCTGTTTGTCCCTCCTGGTGTTCATTTTCGCTCACAACGACAGCCTTTGATGACAAGCCCAGAGAGGAAGGAAGCATCCTACTGCCCCCAGCACCACCATGTACGTGGACATCAATCACCATGTCTCCAGTACCATCATGTCTACCACATCAGTGTGTTCCAAAATCACCATGTCTACTGGGGTGATCTTGTCCATCACATCCCACAATGCCACTATGCCTCAGAGATTCACTCAGTCCGAAATAGCAAACCCTCCAGTCAACATATCCTCCAGCATCACTGTGTCCCACAGTGTCTCTGTATAACCCAACAGAACCACGTCCTTGATTGACATCATCATGTCCCCAGCACCACTGTGTCTCTCAGTATCACTGTGGCTCCCAGTACCATCATGTCTCAAGCTCCGGTGTTGCCCAGTATCACCGTGTCCTCTAGCACCCCCAGTAGATAGGACTTCTGCCCCTGCAACCCTGCTTGGGTACAGGGGCCCAATGGGACAAGAGTTTAGCAGGACACCCAAGGAACGGCACAAGTCTAAGGCAAAGACCTCCTTGGCTCCTCCAGGCCCCAGGCAGAAGTGCAACATCACGACCCAAGGGCCTGATAACCCCAGGATTCTGACACTCTTCTAGACTACAACTGCCCTCTGAATTGGGATTTCTGATCACCCAATAGGCTTCGTGACCTGCAGGACCTAAGTGCCAAAGCAGAGCTGGCAGGCAGTTCCTGACTCTTCTCCCAGTGAATGCCCTGCACTGGTGTGTGACAGCATTGTGCAGGTCACTAGCCATTCCTTCACCCTCACGTCTATCAGCACACACCCCCTCACACCATCCATACACATGGACCCAGGATTCCATTCATATCCTTAGACACACTCAAGCATATTTTTATGGGCACACACACACACACACACACACACACACACACACACACACACACACACATACACACACACACACACACACACCTTAGAAGGAGTCTCAGTCCCAGGAGAAGAAACTGGAGGAACAGGGCTGCCAGGCTGGGATCTATGAAGGGGACACCGTGGAAGACATTACAGGAAGAGGTGGCATTGATCTCTAGCTTTGCCTCCCCTTGAATCCGGGGAGGTGAACCCTCAGTTCTATGGGAATCACCAACAAGTGGAACTTGTAGCCACAGGGGTGGGAGTCAAAGCAAAAAAGAGTCTCTTCTTGGAAGACATGTGACAAATCTTTTGAGCCCTCCCTCCTCAAGGCCCTCTGGTGTCACCTGGCTGTTTGCTCACTCATATTCACCAAAGAGTACTGGACATCTGCTGTTCTAGCTTGTACACTGGGTTACAGGAATGCAAAGACTAAAATGCCGTGGCACCCACCTACAAGGCCTGCACACTGAGTGTGTCCAGTGGGCACACTATGACAAGTGGCTTTTATAGCTTTTTAGTCTCTGTGTTCCCATAACCCAGTGGGCAGCCCAAGACAGCAGGTGTTGTGATATCCTTGGTGAATGAATGAATGAATGAATGAATGAATTAATGGATATATGGATGAATGGGAGAAAGCAGCAAGTGATTGTGAATGGGAAGGAGTCAAATGGTCCTTGAACATGGACTGCTCAGTAACAAGAGCCAGAAACTTTCCCTTGGTGAGTATGCGTTGGGGTGTAGGCCATGGGATTTAAGCCTTACACGGCGTTGACTAGCCAAAGAGCAGCAGCAGCAGCAGCAGCAGCAGCAGCAGCAGCAGCAGCAGCAGCAATCACCCACATTTCTTCAGACACAGAAGCTAGAGCTGAGCTAGGAAAAGAGTTTGGGCTGCCAGGTGGGCTAAGGCCCCTGTTAGGTCACCTAGGTGCCTCATGCGCCGCAGGTGTAAGCCCCATCTCCTCCAGGCAGATCTTCAGAGGCGATGCAAAGGACCTTGGCACCGGCCAAGGCAGAGCAGGGTGCATCTTAATTTCCCCCCTATTTCCCTCCTTTCCTGGTCTTCATCTTCCCTCCAGAAGGAGCCTTGAGAAGTCCTGTCCTTCTTCACCAGCCAAGCTGAGGCAGGTCTAGGCAGGGTGCCCTGTACCTGGGGGCCACTGTTCTAGAAGCATCAGTGAGGAGCCCACAGGCGCAGAACCATCTACAGCACAGAGAAGATCACTCCCCTGACATTTATATCCACATGAAGGTCCAGAGAAGATGGATGGTAAGACGGTGTGGTTCCCAGGACCGCAGTCCTTCCAGCTGGGCTCACACGGGTAGAACTAGTGTAGGGTACATCCAGGAAAGGAGGAGGGCCCCATCAGGCAACGCTGGGATCTGTTGATTACAGGAATCTCTTTCTCAGTTTTCTAAGCGTGTGGGGGCCCCAGGGTGCAGACAGGGCCACCTAGGAGTCAATATCTTGCTAGGAGACTGTAACAAATGATCCTGGTAGCCCAGAGTCCGTGAGGCCCCACCATTGGTGATGGAGTATCCCAGGGAACTCCTCAGCCGCCGAGGACACTGAGTCTGCCTGGAGGGGTGGAGTCCGGAAGGATGGAGAGGGCGGAAGGGTGCGGGGATTTCAGGGGAAGTGGACAGAAAGCAGAGGCTGCCAGCTTGGGGGTGGAGAGGTGGATCTGAGAAAAAACAGATTAAGGGAGAAAAAATAGAAACCACAGGAAATACTCAAAAAGGTGACAGACCAATGGAGGAATTGGGCTGGGTGGGCCCCTGAGGGCCTGGGGGAGGAAACAGTTTAGCTGGCCAGAGACCTGGAAGTGGGCTCGGCTGGGGGACAGACGAGGCCAGTGAACAAGTAAGATAAGTGGATTCAGGAAGAGAGTAAATATGGTGAGAGGAGTCAGCAGGCAGGGAAAGGGACAGTGACATCACTGGCAGACCTAAAGGGGACGGGCAGGAGGGAGGGGACATGCTGGGGACCTTGAACAGCTGATGAGTTCACTCACAGATGCTAAGAACTGTAGGTAAAAGGGCACATGGCTTCCAGAGGCAGCGAGAGCCACAGGCTGTCACTCAGCAGGGAATTAAGTCCTTCTTGGGGGTTCCAATTGCTAGATGGGGTCTGAATCGTCCCTAAGGGGTCATATGATCGTTTTAGCGTGGACTTCTAGTGCCTCAACTCCACCAGAGTTGCCAGGAGATTGATGTAATTTATGATCGTCTAAGGAAGGAAGGAATAGGAATCTTGATGAGCTAAGATGTGGTATCAATAATAAACTGCATCTAAATTTCAGGGATATTAAAGTATGGTGGGGAGACATATCTTTGAATCAAAGGCTGACAAGGGCCAAGTGCAGTGAACACATATCCGTGATGGAATGTCAAGCAGTGCAGCCCCCAAGTACAGCAGTGTGGCAGGGGATCAATAAACTGAGTGTGGAATTAGCACAGAATCCAGCAAACCCACTTGTGAATTTACACAGAGCAACTGGAA